CGCTCTACAACTACCTGAAAGGAGGTTGTAGCGACGGGCGGGTCGGTCTCTTCTCCCAAGTAACTAGCGATAGGACGAGAGGAAATGGTCTCAAGTTGCGCCAAGGGAGGTTTAGATTGGACATTAGGAAAAATTTCTTTACTGAAAGAGTGGTCAGGCCTTGGAACAGGCTGCCCAGGGAAGCGGGCATCCATCCCTAGAAGTATTTAAAAGACGTGTAGATGAGACGCTTAGGGACATGGTTTAGTGGGCATGGTGGTGTTGGGTTGACGGTTGGACTCGATGATCTTAGAGGTCTTTTCCAACCTTAATAATTCTATGGAGAAGAAAGCTTCAGCAGATCAGGCACAGAAACGTAAGCACTTCTCTAAGTATGTTTCACACTGTTTATTCTTCAAATCTCACTGCTGGTTTTTAAATACTGATTTCTTCATGATTATTTCGCTCTTTCTCATCATGCCGTGGTGTCTAACAGCAACATGACTGATTAAATGAGTAGCCAAAAGCATCACTATGGAATGCAGGTAAACAGAAAGGAAGAAAAGGTCAAGAGTACTTCACCAACACGTTTAATAATTCAGCGCTGTTTGTGGTTACCATAATGATTTCCCCGTTTGTAAAGAACAGGGAAGACGAAAGAACGTTTTGCCTAACGCCAAGCAGCTGCAACTGATGGTTTGATCCTCAACCAGTATATAAGGTAGAAGCCAAAGAATCTGAAATTACATGGGCACTTAGCACCTGATTCAACAGTCAAAACACTGAAGAGATTCCTGTTCATGGGTGGATATATTGCATATATAATAATTTTTACTGAATTCACCTATTTAATTTCTTGAAGAAGCAACTCACAAGGGATATGAAATTACTCCAGATAGAGTTGGTAATTTTGCTTCAAGTTTTTTTACAGTATCAGGCTAGCATTATAACAGGAGTCTTCTTTAGCCCATCGACACAAGAGAAACCCATGAAGGAGTTTTCCGTCATCTTTGCTGGAACCAGCTGATCAAAGACTATAGTACCACGTCTTTGTAGTAGCCATGACTCCAGACACGTATTTATAGGCATACAAATATGCCTATAGCTGCCCACATATAGCTGGCAGTCTGGAGAGCCTAGGACGGCATGTCCCAGATGGGTGGTGTTCAACCAGCACCCAGAGAGCCAATGGCTATGATTACCATCTGCTTCTCTCACGCCTGCCGCTTTGTACAACAAACAGAAACCTAAGATGTGTGTCCAGAAACATGCATCCACAAGCAAAATTTAAAAAAAAAAAAAAAAAATTATAATAAA